GGGACAGACAACAGAAAAGTGGGTGAAGGGAGACGTCAGACAGGGCAAGATATGACAAAATAACAATTTATAAACTATCAAGGGCTTATTGGAGGGGGCGAGCGGGAGGGAGGGGAAAAATGAGGACCTAATGCTGGGGATTTAAGTGGAGAGAAAATGTTTTGAGAATAATGAGGGAAATGAATGTACAAATGCACTTTACACAATTGATGTGTATGAATTGTGATAACAATTGTATAAGCCCCTAATAAAATGATTTAAAAAAAAAAAGATTGACAACCTTGAAACCACGTGTAGGATTGAATCTGAGTGGCAGTGGGTTTGAGTATCTATGACTGCCTATTAGCAGCTGGCAAAAATATAGAAAAATATTATTCGTGACCATTTTCTTAAAAGTCAAATCCACAAATAACCCTTGTGGAAGAATGGGGGAGATCAAGCATTATTAAACTACAGGCATTGTAAGCCTGAGGGCTCAGAAGGTACTAATGACCTCAATAAATCTGTGTCTGATGTCTGCAAGGTCCACCAGATAGATCAAGGACCAGGCCTTGGTTTACCCCTGTAGTCTCAGCACCATACACCAGTGTCCTGCAATAAACAAAACCAAAAATACCAAACCTGCTACCATCAAGTGGATTCCAGCTCAGTGACTGCAGTGCAATGAATGGTTTCACGTGGCTCTTCAGGCCACAGACAATGCGGCTCCCACTAAACGGCCTTCCTTTTCCTGATGGGTCTGGGTTAGAAAGCATAGTTGATAATGGTTGGATTACATGATTCCGTTGAGTGCTTGGTAACAGGGTTAAATGTAATTGCCATCCTACTGGGTATAAAAGAAGCCCTCTCAGAAGCAGGAAGGGGGGAATCTCACTACCAACAAGAAAGAAGAGCCAAAAATGGAGTACATCCCATGGATGCTGCGATCACTGCACATTGAACCTCGTGGATCCAGAAAACATCTTTGAAACCAGATGAACAGCAGCAGCAGAACCAGAACCAGCACCTGAGACAAGGTGGCGAACCCCCAGTCCAGAGACCAAGTAAAGAGGAGTACTTTGGGGCAAGAGGCTAGTTTGCCAAGTGGGATGCCTCTGGGTACTTACTTGTGGGAGCTGGGTTTGCTGACCAATGGAGCCTTTGAGTTGAGGCTGACAGCAGCATGGCGTGCCTTTTAGGCATGTACTAGAAGCACTAAAAGAGCCTGGGAACACTGCCCAAGCAGGACAGAGGTCTAGCCAGAAGGCTGAGGGTCAGAGAAGAAACTGCCCTGACTATAAACAACTGTATCATGAGCACTGCTTACCTGTTACCTTCCCTAATAAACTCCAAAATCAGGACCACTGTCTGTGAGCTGTGTGTGGCCACTGCAATGAGCTATAGAACCCAAATGAAACGCAGAACGAGCTGTGGGTAGGGCAGTTGATGTCGGAATAGGACAGAAAAGGGAAGGAGGATGGAGGCATGTCTGACTTCTGTCTTGTGGGCATCAGCCTTGGGAGGCGGAGGAAGTCACATCTGGCTTCATGCCCTTTTCTCAGTGGCCTTACAAGGAAGAACAGAATATTCCAAAGGGTTTCCAATCTTTATGGAAACAGATGGTCATCTCTTTTTCCTATGGAGTGACTGCTCTTTTGTTCAGCAGCCAAGGATGTAACCACTGCTTTGTCAGGGCTCCTTCTGGAAGTACTGACCTATAATGTTTCTCTAAAAGCCAAGGATATGGTTTGTCCAGCCCCTACGCACACTCAACTAAAGGGGGAAAAAAATGGAAGCTCACTGCCATCGAGTCAATGCTGACTCACAGTGACCCTGTAGGACAGGGTAGAACTGCCCCTGTGGGTTTCTGAGACGATAACTCTTAGGAGAGTCGAAAGCTCCATCTTTCTCCCCCTGCGCTGCTGCTGCTGGTTTCAAATTGCTGACCTTGCAGGTAGCAGCCCAACTCATGACCACTGCACCACCAAGGCCCATGCACACCCTTGAGGCCCAAGAGGAAAAGTATTAGGAAAACACCATTTATGTGGGAGGAGTCCTTAATGGTTGCCCTGTCCTTATGAAGACAAAGAGTAACTAAGCTCACTGCCACTGAATCAAATTCCAACTCAGTGACACTGCAGGGCAGAGAAGAACTGCCCCCCCACTGGGTTTCCAAGCCTAGCGTCTCTACAGAAGCAGAATGTCATCTTTCTCTG